GTACCTCGGCTGATGTTAATGAGAATGGCTGTGGGTTTCATCAGCTCCAGCTCTCTCTTCCCGATCAGGTTGCGCGTCTGAGGTGTCAGGCTCACCACCACCATCACAAAATCTGCCTGCTGGAGTAAGCTGTCTATCTTTTCGCAGTAAGTGGCACCAACAGCTTGCTCCTCCTGCGCTTTCCTAGTGGGAGGAAAAGTATTTCAGGGCACCAGTCATGAAAATGTTTTCTTCAGTGATGTCACCAGTATACAGACTAAAGGATCTGATTATCACATCCATGTAGCAAACAAGTGGCAAATAAAGGTGAATTTAGGCTCAGCTGGGTGTTTAGACCCTTCTGGAAGGCTTCAAGTCCTACAGAAGGGGATGGATTGCATGCCTGCCTCGCAGCCACTGCAGTGCAGGGCCTGGGGGCTTCTTATAAAGTCTGCAAATGGACTAAGGATAAGCACTGGGGCAGATGGCAGCACATGGTTCATTCTCCAGGATCCCCCGTGGGGAAGGTGCTCAAACCAGAGGAGTGTTATTCACCAGAACTCATTCATGTAAACTCTGAGCATGCTGGTGGTCCTCATCCTGTTGACACCCTCAGTAAGCCTGTAATTTTTTCATGAGCGAAATCAGCAAGGCAGCTCTTTGTCAGCCTTCTAGCTGCCCCAGGACTTTTACAGAATTAAGTGTTCAGCAGAAAAAAATTTCCAAAGTCGAGAGAGATTTTTAGTTTTAATTTTTCACAACAAAAAGGAATACTCGCTATTTCTCCCGTTCTTTGTAAGTTTTGCTTCCTGAACTTTGGCACCCAAAGAAGCAATGACAGGAGATCCTGTGTACAATTTTCTGCTCCTGACTGCAAGAGAAGGGCTTTGAGTTACCTCCTCCCTAATTTAGAAATAAGGAGGTCGCACAAAGAAAATAACTTTAGACCATGTCTCTCTTAACACATGCACTTCATTGTTTTCTTTCATGTTCAGGTCAATAACCAGAGAATAAGTAGGAACAGAACAGACTGGAACTACAGCCAATTTTGCATCATGCAGAATGCATCTTGATTCAACACAAAAGCAAAAAGGTTTTTGATTTCTGTTGCACTGTGCACTGATCATTCGTCACAGCACTCTTACATAAATATTACTTTAAAGATTGGGAAATATTAAGCAGAGGCAGTTTGTGATGATCCACAGGGAAAAAATTAATAAAAGGATTTGTGCCTTTTTTTATCTTTGTATCGTGTGGCTTATGAAGAAGTTCTGAAAGATCTTAAGGAGGCTGTTCACTAGTACTTTTTTTTTTAATGTGAGTTCGCTCAGCTGTTTTTCTGAGTAGCAAAAATGCCAAGCATTTCTGGCCTCATTCACCCTTCTGATTTGACTGCAGTGACCCTCCTTCTGCAGTCTGCATATGGAGAGAACCACTGAAAGCCACATGTCCTAGCACTGCAGCTGCTCCCTTCAGTCAGAGAGGAAAGTAAAGTTCTCTCAGGGCAGGTCATGGTTTGTAGCAGTGAATATTTGTTCTGCCCCTTGTCTGCACCTTGCCTGATTGCAAGGGCCTCGAGTTATGTGTGGGGATCTTGCTTGCTTTTACAGTGAAGAGCCCTTGTGCTGAATGTTGAACAAGGATCAGATTCCCAGACTCAGGAGGGGCTAGAAATAAAAGGTGAAATAAGGTTAAATACTTGCTAGAATGGCTTGAGGAGAAAGAGGTTTTTCACAAAAACAGCTCTCAAGTTAATCATATTGTGCCAAGCATACGTTTCTTAGTTTTCCAGACACTGAGTTTCAACAAGATCCCTCAATATATGCACTAAAAATAAACAAAAGGTAGAGTTATGTGTCACTATGGTATGATATGATAAGAATAAAAAAAAAATATTAGCTTGATTCCCTTTTTTCTGCTCACATCTGCAGGAAACCTTGAAATTTCTAATATAAAACCTAAATTAGGTTTCCAAGTGTTTAATCACCAAGTAACTCTTTACAGGAATGATTTAAGGCAACCATTCTTTTTTTTTTTTTTTTTTTTTTGCTCTTTTGTTTCAATCTTGGCCCTATTCCCTCATTTTTTGCTGTATTTCTGACATAATTCCTTGAAAAGAAAATACTGAGAAAAGAAGAGAGTTTCTGCTGCACTTAAGGTAAATCTTTACCTCCGTGTCCTGTTGTGGTACAAAATCTTCATTTCAAACGCTTTGGCTCTCAGAGCAATCTTATATCCAATGCGGCCCATGCCAATGATCCCCAGAGTAGCTCCAGAAACTTTAACTCCCAGAATGTCAGCTTCACAGTAGTCCACATTTGAAGAAATTGCAATGTGATGGACTGCAGGAAAAATAAATACGAGAAGTGAACGGAGTCCAACACAGAGGAACAGGGCAAAAGAGTCTGAATTTGTTCTGCTACTACAGCACACTTACAATGATTGCAAACACATGATTTTGTAATGTCCTAGGTATAGGATGTATCATCCCTGATATATCATCTTTCCCTCCCACATGCATATATGACATTCTCATTCATTCCTACTGTCCTACAAAAAGCCTTCTGATGCAATTTCTCCCAAAAATCCTTTTACTGTTTTAGACTCATGAAAATATCGCCCTGTTCTTCATCAACAATCAAAATAATTGTCGCCAATAACAATGCAGAGTTTGGAAATGTCATGTGGACAGCACCACCAGATATTTGGTTTGCTTATTTAGAATAAGAGCAGGTTTCCTGTTCACATCTGTCACCCTCCTTTGAAAGAAAAGTGCAACTGCTTTAAGAATCACTGATTGGATTTAAGAATCCATAATTATCTGTTAAGCCTGCACAATTTTGGATAGTTCTACAGCACATAAAATACAGTTATATACACAGAGTCAGCACTTATTAGTTTGCTAGGAAGATGACAAGCTTCTGATATTTCAGTCTTCTGATATTGCCAGCTTTTCTAGAACATAAGCAGAATGTTGGTAAAGTATTAAAAAAAAGAATCAGGGAAAAAACCTCAGTAATCTGAGGGCAGAGCTGTCAGAAATGCCACCAGGGATAGTTTATGTAGATGGGAACAAGAAATTAATCTCCCTTTTAATCTGTCTCCTCCTTGTGACGTAGAAACAGATTTAGAGTGGGACAAAACTCCTTAGAGTTTCTATGAATGCTGTGGTGCAGGATTTGGCAAGTCAAAGTCAGGTAAATTTAAGAGGATAAATCTGGGAGATCTTTTCCTGAAGCAGGAGGCATTCTAACCAAGCCAAGCGTAGGTCTATCTGGGGAAATAGCCAGAAAAAAATTGCTGAAGAAACTAGAAAAGATGTTATAAGCAGAAACAGGAGTAGGCTGCTTTATTACTCTCTACTGCCCCTTAAATGCCCCAGTTCTGCACCAACCCATTTCAGTCCCCAAGAATATGCCCATGCCTCTATCAGCATTTTGTGGGCCCCTTCCAACTTAGTATTATTATTATATGACTCTATATACCCTTGTTCTGCTTCACTGTTGCCTCCCACACTCTAATGTGTTCTGCCAGCCTGTGGCTGCAGCGATTGTCTGGTCTTTGGCATTCCCCCCTTCTGGTCACAGCATTGTAACACTGTCACATTGAAAAGCACTTCTTATGTCAGCCAAATGTCACAGGCACTGAAAATGCACTGCTGCAGAAAGTAATGGAATTTAAAGTTTCTGTACGTAGAAAGCACACTTCAGTGTGTTGTTCACCTGAAACTGTTAAATTAAGTCTACAGCCATATTTATTTTAAAAGCTAAATTCCAGTTTCTAGGAACACTTGGTCCATAAAGCAGAAAGTTGTGTTTAAATGAAACATGATTAGATCCTGGTCAAGTGTTTTCAACCCTATGAAAACTAAATTCATATGATTTCACCTATATGTGGTTGAAATATTGGTTATGTATGCATGTGTATGATGTAACAATTTAAGTATATTTATTCTACTTAATTCACATTTTATGGGAAACTATAAGCACTACCCATAACTCCATAAGAAAACTCAAGTTAATGGTAGGTAAATCTTGTACGACTTTTAGAAGTCACAAAAGAATTGCAGTGTTACCTTCCACCAGTCTTCTAGCAGATGCCAGCAGCAAAGCCATCCCAGCATCTGCTGTGCAGTTGGAAACAGCATGTGGAGCATTAGCCATCCTCACACCAAAGCTAGATATAAGTTTCAGATCCAGGTGATCCATCCCCACTCCTGAATTCGCAATCACTCTCAGGTTGGGCAGGCTTTGGAGGAGCTCTCGGTCAATGGCTGGTCTGTGCCACCACATATAGATTGCTTGGACCTTTTTACTTAAATGCTTCCTGTTTTCAAGCAATTCCTTCATGGTGATGAGGTAGAAATGTTTCCTCAGGAATGCCACATGGCTGTGCAGTATCCCAAGCATGCCACCGATTTCATTTACCAAAAGCCCAGGTAGTTCTTCTCCTTCCATGATCTGCACAAGAAAGAGAGACACAAAGCATCATAAGATGTGTAATTATTTCCAGACATTTTAAAGAATAATCACTGTCATGTGCTGTTTCTTGACATCTATGGCAAGAGATCCTATAAACCACGTATTTAGATAGGAAAGAAAGCAAATCAAGACAAGAAAGCAGCTCTTTTAAATATACTACCTATTATATTCATACAGAGAGGTGCACACACACACACACACACAGATAATCACACAATCAGGCCTGAACAAGTTCTGCCCTCTGTGGTCTCCAAGATTTCATAATACTGCCACCGTGCTCAAAACACAACTACTTCCCATCAATTACTTAGTTTCAGACCATCAACAGCCTGGTGCAATAAATCTCCTTTGCTACCCTGAAATCAAAAATCACCTTGCCTAAGTAGTTTAGAAAAATGTCAGACCAAATCTAGTTCATGAAAATAAACTGCACAGTTTCATCATGAACTTTGAGTTACCGGGTTAATTTTTAAATGCGTCATTGCAGAGATTTTTGCAGTCTGCTGTCCTGGAGAGATCCCAGTGACTGCAGTGCCTTTTCCTGGGCCTGTCATAAGTTAACAAAATAATAGATGCTTAGGCAAGTGTTTTCCAAGAAGGACTTTTGCACTCAAAATTAGGTTGTTTGCTTGTTTGTTTGTTTGTTTGTTTTCAGGAATCACTGGCCATCTGGTTTTGGTTCTCAGAGGGTCTGTGAATTGACAGTTGCTTTGTGGTTCGGGGGTTTTTTTGCCTTTTTTTTTTTTAATACACTTTTTATAGCTGCTCTTGATTTTCTACAGCAATTTTGGGAAGAGTGGTGGGTAGAGTGATCAAGGGCTGAAGATCTTGGAAACCCCCTATGGCAATACTTTCTGCTGCCTGGTTAGTAGTATTTCACTATTTGCATCTGAATGTCTAACTCTTGGCCTGTCTACAGTTCCTGTGCTAAAATTTCATTTTACCACTCCTTCAAGCAGCCTGATCGTATTGCAAAATAATGGAAAGGCTTCCTAGCTTTAGGGGGGTGACAAACACTTCACTGAAATTTTCTGACTTTGTTGCTTGCTCATAGGAAAGAGAATGCACGAAAAAGCTTGGCCCTGGGCTGCAAATTAGGACTGAGCACTTATTTCCCTTTAGGTTGTGCTCTCACCCATGTGATTTCAGTGGTAGTTGTACCATTGTTTCATGGCCAGTCAAGATAAAAGCATCATTTTTTTGTCTGCATGGAGGAGCTAAATCTCTTGGGATTTACTTTGTTTTTCAAAGGATCACCTCAGGAAAACACTTTTTCAACAACTGGCAATTGGCATTGCTTTAACATGTAGATGAAGCAGAATTCTTCTTAAATTAGAAAAAACTGAAAAAACTTAGGCCTACAATTACTTCAAAGGACATTTATTCAGTGTTTTGGTATAAAAAGAGAATATTGCAACATTGGCTGAAAAATGTGTCAAGATACAGTCAAATTTCTGCAGGGAATTAAAGCTCATTCATCTTTAATAGACTTGAGGGTGTTACACAAACTGCTTGGTGTACTTGCTCATCATTCTGAAGCAGCAAGTACTGGGCACAGAACAAGGGTATGCAACACCCCAGTTTCGAAGCCCCAGGCTCAACTGGGAATATTACTTCTATTTAAGGCTTCAAAAGAACCAAACTTTTAAATAAAAGCCTTTAGTTCGTTATTACCTCGAATTCACGTGCAGAGGAAACGGTGCCACGCTTCCTCTAAGGGAATTTCTTTCAACTTAGAGAGAAAATAAACATTCGGGCAAAAGGTTTTACAGGGATAGCGTATAACCAAGGCAGAGATATTTCACCAGAACACCCAGCACAAAGATCCAGTCCACTAAAGCACCCCTACAAAGTAATCAGTACACCAGCTTAGTAAACACGAGTCATTGGTTTTAAGTTACTCAAGGAAAATTAAGAGTAAAGGAAAGAGTTAAAGAAGAGTAAGGGAAAGAGTAAAGGAAGAACAGAGATTAATAAAAGTAGAGAAAGAGAAGAAGGAGAATAAGAGAAAAATAGTTACAGCCGAGGATCCGATGGCTCACACAGCGCCAGCCAGGAAGAGAAAACACCCCCACAGGGTGAGCCCCTGTGCTCCTGCGTTTATAAGGTTGGGCCAGCATGCTCAGGCCTCGCAGGCGGGACATGCAGGTCATGGACCACTCAGTAGCCCCCTGGCCAGAGTGAGGTGTGCTGTAGGCAATCACAGGCTGCAGGGGGCGTGGCGTGGGCTGCCCCGGGTGTCCTTTTTGGTGGACAGCTGCCCAACGCAGGCATCTGGCGCTGCCAAGGGCTTTCCGAGGGCAGGCCTGACCTTGTTCCCCAACGCCCAGCCCTTCCCCACCTCCCCCCCCACACACAGCGAGTTGCCTCCGACCCACATAAAAATGTTATACAATCCAGTGAGATTTCAATCCAGCACGTCACAAGGTATTCACCAACAGACTGAAGGTATCAAGGTGCATAGCTGCTTGGTTAAAATCTTCAAACAAATCTCTTTTATTGGTTCTGCTTTATTTTTCAGAATTGGAAATAACAGTACAGATCAAGCCTAGTGAGATGACAGTTTTGCAGTATCGTGACAAGCAGTGCAGGAACAGGTTGCTTTGTGTTTGTTTTTTTTTTTTAGTTTAAAAGTGGTACTGTAAGAAATAGTGCCTGCCCATACACATGAGATTTAGTGGTATCATCTGGCACACATCATTTGGGAAACACTTCACTTGGAATGGGTTGGCCATTGAGAACAGCCAGTATATTTGCTATTGCTTCTTCTGCCATCATATGGATAGCTTGGACTGTTGCAGTTCCAATGTGAGGGGTTATGATGACATTATTTAATTTTAATAGAGGATGATCTCTGTAAGAAACGGAAAGAATAGAATGTGTTACACAGAGAACTTACTCTGCTGCTATCCTATCCTAGCTGTGAGAAAGGGAGCCTCAGGAAACAGCAGGGGCATGTTGAGATAAATGGGCCACAAGCACAGAACCAGCAGAAAGCTGTGAGAAGCTTGCTTACCCATTTCTTTTTTTTTGCTCTATTGGTCTTGTTGCCTTGCCTATCAGGCTGGCAAAGAACTGACAGATGTGGGAAAGGTGTATACTTAGTCATTTATTTATGATTGTGTGAGATAGGCTGAGGTTTTGCCCTTACACAGTGAGAGAGGCTCCCCGTGGAGATCAAGCTTATGAGCGCACTTTGCACACAGTTTGAAACATTTCAGACTAAAAGAACGGGAAACAGGTTTCTTTACCTTGGCAGAGGCTCAGGGTATGTCACATCCAGAGCTGCAGCCCTAATAATCTTATTCTGGAGAGCTTCTACCAGTGCATCTTGATCAATAACTGCACCTGCATTGAAATGAAATCTTGATAACATGACGAGTTAATGAATACATTTTTTATGTGGGAGTGAGGAAAGGTCTAATGAGAAAAATTAGAGGATCTTCATCTTGTTCAAAAGCAGAATGCCTAACAACTATTAACCAAAGAATTTATTAATCTTAAAATAAATAAAGATTATTTATTAATCTTTAATAATAGAATCATTATGGTCCACTGCACGTGGTGTTTCCTAGGATGAGACCATTTTCAATCTTTTCCTCATTTTGACACTTCCTGTATTATTACAGACAAATCACTTAATCTCTTCAGGCTTTCCACTCTTTTATCTCTGCTTTGTTTACCGAAACTACAATCTTCCTCATATGTTTGTTCAGTGCCAATAGATCTGTCGTCCCATTTGAGGCTTCCTTTCTACAAGCTGTTCCAAATGTTACTTAATGTTTTCCCTTGTACTCTGTTCATCCTCGCTGATGATAAACCTTTCAGTTATTTCCACTACAAACCCTGTCTTCAGCATAAGGGTAAACATCTGCTGAGCATCCCTAATTTCCACAGGACCTTTGAACACACAGCATATGGTCCACGATAAGTCACTCATTTGTAGACTGCCAGCTACTTCATGACCCGGACAGACGGACATCACAGAATGAGGTTGGAGAGGGGAATGTCGATATAATCTAACAAAACATAACCTTAAGTGTGGAGCCACAAACAGTTACTTCAGATCATCCTACCTCGGCTGATGTTTATAAGAGTAGCTGTGGGTTTCATCAGACCCAGCTCCTTTTTCCCAATCAGTTTGCGAGTCTCAGGAGTCAGGTTCACAACCAACATAACAAAGTCAGATTGTTGCAGCAAGTCTTCCATCTTCTCACAGTAGTGGGCACCAACAGCCTCTTCCTCCTCCTTTCTTCTGAAGGAAAAAATGCACACACCTCCAAACTGACACAGCCATTTCTAACTGGCTTCAACAATCAATAACCCCAGGAGAGATCCAGAACAGCACAAAGACTGAGAGGTTTAAGGACAAGTTTAAAGGAAAAGACATTGAAAGGTGCAGATGGTGGAAGGGAGGCAAGAAGGATGTGGACTAGAGGAAGCAAGAGGCTAGAAAGTGGTGGGACACTGAAGGAGTGATGCATGCAAAGCACATATGTGATATTAGGCACAGGAGGTTGGGGGTGTAGTCAGATCCCACTCTTCTCTTCCGTGTCCATGTCAATCCCTGTGGAGTCTTTCCTTGCCTGACACGAGTTAGAACTTGTGGTTGAAAAGAAATGAAGAGGAAGTGAAGTGTGAAAGAAAGGAAACTACAAATCTATGAGAAATGAAGACCTTTGTCACTGGTGCCAGTGTGATGAGTGATCAGGCTAGGCTGAGGAGACTGGTTCACTGGGTGGAACAGGGATGCTGCCAGAGCCTGAAGAACAGTCTGAAAGGACAGGGGACACCGCAAGGGCACAAGGCCTGGTTTACTTGGACAACATCTTCAGAAAGGGTAGATGGCCCTTGTTCCAAACTGCTAGTGTCTTAACCAGGGCAGAATGAGTGTAGGAGGCATGGCAGAAACCACTCCCTCAGGGGAGCAGCAGGGAACCAAAGTGAGGAAGCGGCAGCATGCTGGTGCTCCTCATGCTGCTTACAGCTGTCACAAGTGCATAGGAAGACCAGGGACACAAGGAGAGCTGTGGCTTCTGTCATTGCCCCCTGAACAATTACATGCAGAAACCAGATGTTTTTACCTCCTGTTTCTGTTATGGTACAGGATCCTCATGTTGAAAGCTCTGGCTCTCTGAGCCACTTTGTATCCAATGCTGCCCATCCCGATGATCCCAAGGGTTGCTCTGGTTACTTCCACTCCCAGCCAGTCAACAGCAAAATGCTTGGTGTCTGGAGAAACCGCAATCTGGCAGCCTGAATGTAAGTACATGCTGAATGGGTACAAATCAGCAATAAAAGCAGGTCTGGGGGACAGAAAAATTTTATCACTATCACAGCAGCAAGGCTCTGGAGCACCCCTACAAAAGATCCTTGCTAATTCTGACCAGTTCATAGAAGGGCCTGGATGGTGCCAATCCCTGCAGCCAGGGCTGGAGTCAGTAACACAGCAGGGTCCTGACTGGGTATTGTGCTGGGAGGAATGACTCCTCAGGGAAGTACCTCTTCCACGGCTGGTGCATTTTCTTGGAAGTCAAAAAATAGCTTAACACTTACCACCCTGCAAGCATTGATTTCACTTTTTTTTTTTTTTTTTTTTTTTTTTTTTTTTTTTTTTTTTTTTTTTTTTTTTTTTTTAATTTTATTATTTTTTTAACTTTTTTTTTATTTGGGGTAAAACTCAGCATTTCTCTCCTGGAACACAACCCAAAGCAGACTCACTGCTTGAGTGAGGGTGAAGGCCGGAAATTCCAGCTCAGCAAGGGATCTCTGTGAGCTTTTGTACAAAGAACCTGAAGTTCAACAAGATACAATAGGGAGGAAATATCACCAGGAGAGACGTTATTTCATTCTCAGGGATGGAGCAGCAGTGACAATAAGACTGAGTCCCCGAAGACAGAAGCAGCTCCTTGAGATAGTCTCTACTGACACCTTCCTTCCTGAAAAAGGCATTGTGTAGCAAGGACATGTGCAGAAAGAACCCTTGTGAGGGAAGGAGAATAATGTTGGTGGCTTGATGTGAAATAACTTTGTCAAAAGGATTATCAGCTCTTTCAATCATAATGCTGATGCTCTTCAGGAAATACAACCCATTGGTTTAGATAAACTCATCATAGAAGCAGGAAAAAAAAGGAGTTACACTAATTACTGGTCTAGAGATGGGGATATGGCCATTTATGCTTTGCACCTTACTATAGCTCCTAACACTTCTTTCAAGGGGAACTGGAAAGTGGTGACATTCCATTTGGATGCACTCCGTCTTCATTTTTTACAGCTATAAAAAACCCACCCAGTGAACAGCCAGAGGAGAATTAAGCCCCTGGCATTATTCCGAACAGGATATCACAAGCGACTTTAAAGCGCATAATTTAGACAAAGGCCTTACTCTAGTCACAGCTGCCTCAAAAAGAAGATGGACACACGAAAAGCAGGTGCCTCTGAAAACTGAGGCCTCCAAAAATTTATCCCCATAAAAGACTGATTTAGACAGATCATCTGAATCACAGTAGGAGTGAGATATGCCAAAGAAGTAGTTAGATCCGGGAAAATTTAAAACATTACCTTCCACAAGTCTTCTGGCAGAGGCCAGCATCAAGGCCATTCCTATGTCTGCTGTCGGGTCCGCCACGGCGTGGGGGGTGTTGGTCACTTTTACACCAAAGCTAGAGATCATTTTCAAGTCTAAGTGATCGACTCCAACCCCAGAATTTCCAATTACCTTTAAATTAGGCAGGCTTTCTAGAAGCTCCCTGTCAATAGTTGGCCTGCACTCAAACACAAAAACAGACTGGATTTTTTTGCTCATTTCTTCTTTGTTTTCAAGAAATTCCTTCATGGTGATAAGGTGAAAGTGTTTCCTCAAAAGCGCTGCAAGGTCTTCTAGCACACCTTGAGTCCCTCCTATATCCAGAATCAAAACACCTGGCAACTCTTCTTTTGCCATGACCTGCAACAGGAAAATAGAAAAGATGCTCCTTTGTTCAGGAAAACACCCTTAAAGGAGCAATGAGGTAGCAATCATTTAAATCACATCTGTAAAACAGGAACTGATGGAACTGAATACTGCTTTTAATCCACAGTCACTTGGTACTAATGTGGTGCATTAGACAATGTCCCAGTACTTTTCCCAAATGCTGATTTAGACTATAACACCAAGGAATACCCACACTCTTAAGATCAAAATCCAGTCCTACAAAATGTTGTTTGCAAATAGTCTCATTTTAGTCCTGAATCAATACTGATTTCATACAGATCTGGTAGCTTCTCAACCTTATTTACCAATGCACTTCCATAAGCAGGGGTATGAAACAGAGGCTGCTCACAGTTTCTCGCCTATTGGTTATGGTTGGTGAAGCTGCAGGTAGTGTAGGGTGGCACTGAGCCCCAGATGGGTCTGACAAACATCTGTCAGGAAATGGTTCAGGTCTAACAAATCTGCATGATGAAGGGCCATACTTAGACAGCTGCTAAACTGCTTGCCCTCGGTGTTTTAGACATCCAGATCTGTACCTGAACTTGTGCAAAATTTAGCACATTCATGCCTATATGCTGACCTGGTGGGGAAGAGCACTAGAGGTGATAATGTAATTCCAACCAACAACACAGACCTTCATACAAGAACTTCCTCCTGCCTGGACATTTCTGACTCCAGTCCTCTCTACCACACTCCTACAAATGTACTGTATTCTGCAATAAGATGATAGCGGCTCCACAGATAACCAAACATCTAATTAGAGGCAGCCCTTACTGATAAAAATGGTAGCTGAAGATTTGCTGCATATCTTAACAATAGTTGTGCCTAATTTCCTACAATTCTGCTTGATGTGCTCCACTGATGTTCGGTCTCCATCCCATACTGTGTCCTATGCTCGGTGCAGGAAACCTGATGTTGTGCTAACTGAATCAGAACAATTTTCCCCAGCAGTATGCTGATTTATTCCGGGCACACAGTGCTGGACAGAGATGTCCTGCTGCTTCAGTCCTCTCACAAAAACCCTCTGCAACTAACCAGAATTCACACCTGTGACAAAAAGGTGTCAATGTAGATTGGAAGTTTTTGTCAACCACATTAACCCTTGTCCTAAGCAAACTCAGGGTTATTCCAACCACATCTAAAAAATGCTTACAATCTCAACACCAGTAACGCTGCTTTATCCTAGCCTTGACCTGTGTTTCTTCCTCAGTTCCAGTCTGCTGCTGTACATGGGTTTTAATGTATCTCCATGTTAGGACAGGTCTGCAATTCACCATAAACAGTGTCTCTGATAATACTACCTGGTTCTGAACAGCAGCAAACAAGGCAATGAGACGAACAGTGCAACCAAATTGCAAAGGAAAACCACGTTCTTAAATATATCTCATCTATTTTTTGCAAACTTAGGTTGTTAGCCCCATGCGGTTGTGAAAATTCATATTTTCCCTAGATGCCTAGATTTCCCAGATTTTCCCAATAGTCTGTATTTCTGAGAGTATCATACAACACGACCTTAGAAGGATAAACTAGATTCATCCTCCAGAATGAACGACACATAGAATAAAAGACAAGAGTTGATGTCATATTGTGACAGCACTGTCCGGCTTTTTGATCAAAACCTGATGCTCCCGCAGTAATTTACTCAGACCAGGTGGCAATTAAGCTCTATGCTGTTAAGTGGTGGAAAACTGGGCACCAGATATCATCAACTGACTGGCAGATGCCAGTAAGACAGCACTGTATTTGCTTTCATCACCAATTCCTCCTCCATTAAGGGCAGAGTCAGAACTGCATTCATTTTAGAAGCGCTTCCTACACTTCACAAACAGAAAGTTGATCCACAAGGAAGCCACTAGCTTTAAACAAACAGCTGGTGCACTAGAAACAGGCTGGCTGCATGTAATGAATCTTTTCATTACTGTGGGCATGCTGAGTTCGCCACCATTTCATCTGTGTTTGATGTGCACGTGAACCATTAATAGGCTGCAGCACTGCTTCAAGAACTGATGTTCTGCTAGTACTGGGTACAACCTTAAAAAATGATTCGGATAGCAGTAAACTAAAAACACTCAAAGGAACCTTGCAGAAGAAAGGGGGCTCTCCAAATACCAACCTTGGTCTCAGCACTTATCGTTCGTCTTCCAGCACTACATGGGTATGTCCTGTACCTCTGTTGGTAAACCAGACTTCTGTGACAGCGATGTCCATGACAAGCAACAAGCTGATGAATAAATTTGTAAGCCAGATTTGACTGGCCAGACATCAATGGAATCGGTTTCAACAGATTGAATGCTTTGCTCATGAACATAATTATTCAGTTATCAGATGTCTTGTCCAGTGTGTAAAATATAACACCTGTCAAGGATATGACAATTTTGGTTTTGGACTAGTATCATTTGTAGTACCACTAACGCCCCCTTTTTTTTTTTTTTTAAGCTGTCTCTCCTCGTATTTTGTATTTACGTAAGATTATATGCCTCTATGTGCATAAACAATCCTGATCATATGTAACACAGTGATATAATGTAAATGAACTAAGTTCTAGACCTGGCATTGCAGAGAAAACTTTGAAAATATTACTTAGTTTGAGACAACTGGGCAAATAAAAAATACTGCATTTAAGTATTCATTTCAGTGCTAACTGAAGCTGGCCTTGTTTCATCTGTGGAGCTTGAGTCACTTCTTACTTGCAGATTTCTTGGCTGGCACTGCTGTATGACTTTGGACTTCGCCAAAAATCACCGCAAAACAAACCTACATAATTTTTCCCGGCTCTGTTTTCAATTAAAGTTAACAGCATGCGTCATCCAGGATAATAAGTTCCTCCCGCTAACTTCTCTGAAGAAGGTGACTAATTACCTGAACAACCACCAAAAGCACTAACCAGGGAGGGGGTTTCTTTCTGACGACGTGCCTTTCACAGCTCGATCCTGCGGCAGCCGGAGAAGCGGAGAGCTCACAGCCCTTGCTCCCGGCCTCGCTCGCTGAACCCTGCCCTGCCCGGCCACTGCCGATCCGGGGGCTGGCGGCTTCCAAGGAATTCCGGCACGGGAAGCACCGCCCGCCGGTGCCTCTGCTATGTCTGCAGTCGGACCAGGCTGCCTTCCGCCTCCTCTCCCGCCCCCGGCGCTCGACTTCCTTAGAAACGAGATAAAGCAAAAGGAGGAGTTCGATCGTTTTTCGAGAGCTCCGCAATTCTGGGGGCAAAGTTATTTGGTACAAATTCACATTGTTTCCCCGCAGCCCAGGCTCAAGCTTGTATTGATTTTGTGTGGCGGAAACCGTGGTTTTGACCCTGTCTGCCGCAAGCTAAGCTTTTGAAGGAGTGTGCAGTGTAGAACAATATTTAACGCCCCTCAGGAAGCAAACAGATTGGCCTGGGATGCCCTATCCCAATGGCCTGCTCGATTCTGAAAGCGAATGCTGAAATGAGCCGGTTTCACAGCTTCCACTGGAACACTTACCCAGTGTGCTCACGTACTGGCATACAGACTGCAGGAGAGATGGGAGAGCAATAAAGGTCCCCGAGTGTGAATCTGCCAGGGGCTGGGCAGTGCAGCTGCCGCGGCTGGGGGCGGTTCTGGGTGCAGTGTGTGAGCGCACGAAAATTTTCATTGCTGTGTGCTAACACACTGACAGAAGTCTTCCATAACCAGGAGGTGCATCCAGCTGCTCTCTCTGTTGCGGCATCACAGAATCATAGCATGGTTTGGGTTGGTAGGAAGGGACCTTAAAGATCATCTAGTCCCGTGGCAGGAGCAGCTGCCACTAGACCAGGTTGCTCAGAGCCCCATCTAACTCGACCTTGAACACTTCCAGGGCTGGGGCATCCACAGCTTCTCTGGGCATATCTCCTCGATCAAATCCCACGGAAACACAGCGTGTTTATTAACATCTTAGAGCGGCCAGCAGCGGAGACTCGGCGGTTTGGGCCCTGACGATGCCCATTCCATCCTCCCCGTGCCACCCCAGCGGCCCCGCTCGGGCCAGCCGCGCCGATCCCCGCGGCACGGCTCCACCCCGCACCTGCGAGGGGCCCGAGGCCCTGCCCAGCAGACAGGGTGCCCAGCCGGGATCCTCGGGCAGCTGGAAGAGGGGAAGGCCCGCCCTCCGGAAGGACGCGTGTGCCTGCGCCGCGCCCCTTCCCTCAGTTCCGCTGCCCGGCCCGGCCCGGCCCGTCACGGCGCCTCCCGCCGCCCGTCTCTGCGAGGAAAGGACGCCCGCGGGGTGCGCTGGGGACGGGGCGAGATGGATGGATGGATGGATGAATGGAGAGATGGATGGAGAGATGGATGGGGCGGGGCGGGTTGGAGTGGGGGCTCGGTGCTGCCGCAGGGCCCGGCGAGGCGCCGCCATGGGCAGGGTGGTGGGTGGTGGTGGTGGGCTGTGGGTGCCGCGGGCACCAGGGCGGGCTGTCAGCACCCGGGGCATTCGTGTCGTGCCGCAGGCTCGCCGTCCGCCCGCCAGGATGTCGTACATGCTGCCGCACTTGCACAACGGGTGGCAGGTGGACCAGGCCATCCTGTCGGAGGAGGACCGCGTCGTGGTCATCCGCTTCGGGCACGACTGGGACCCGACGTGCATGAAGATGGACGAGGTGCTGTACAGCATCGCCGAGAAGGTAAACCGGAGCTTTCTGCGCTCACTGTTCCCCATGGCTTGCTCGAAGCCCCGGGCAGATTGTATATAACTCGGGTTCTGGAAAGGTATTCCAGCTTTAGGAGGCAGAGGGAAAGCTGTTTGTTTTGCTTTCGTGAGTGTCTCCTAAAGTCACTGACTGCCCTGATGTTTGCAGTATTTAATGGGGAGGCAAGAGTTCTGAAATCAAGATCGCTGCCTTTTAATAACCCATCATTGAATGAACGTCAGCATTCGAGCAAGAACAAGTGCTCGATGGTAGGGCTGTGGCTCTAGGTAGGGCAGCACTCTCACTTACAATGAAAATGTAAGCTTTGGGTTTCCATTTGAATAACTTGGAAAGTTACTTTCATTTTGGCTCTTAAAAATGGTGAAGTGCTAAATTGTACAGGATAGTATTGATTAATTTGTCAGTGATATTATTCTGATTAATCTGTCAGTGATATTATTTGTGTAAACAGATAGCATTCCACTGAGTTGCATGGAGTGAATTACATTTTAGGAGCCAAACTCTAAAGTTGTTTTCAGATGGAAACTGAATGCTTGCTGACAGCTGGTTGCTCATTTAAGAAAGATACTGAAGAAAAATTAGACTGTTAAAATACACAATTAGCTATAAATTACCTTTTCATATGTTTGCTAAAGGTTTTGCAGAGTGATAGATGTAGAAAATTGGTAACTCTATAACTGAACCACAATAAAAAAAGCAGCAAAATTATCTGAGCCATAAATGGTAACTTGGGTAGGAAAAGATGTCAACTATCATAGAAATCATGGAATGGTTTGGGTTGGAAGGGACCTTAAAGATCTTATTCCAACCTCCCTGCCCTGGGCAGGGGTACCTTCCACTAGACCAGATTGCTCAGGCCTTCATCCAACCTGGCCTTGAACACTTCTAGGCATGGGGCATCCACAACTTTGCTGCCTTCATAATAAAATTCTGGGCATGCCGCATAGCTTGACCCGGTGTTCTTTTGGTGGTGCACTCCTTTGTCCTCTAATGTTATTTTTAGAGAAACTGTCTTGAAAATATCCACAATGAAAGGTCTATACCTCCAGCCAAGTGTTAGGACACGATAGAATACAGTAAGGAGTTGTGACATGTTTTGCTTTAGTTGTTCTGTGTTCAGTGTGGTGGGAGTGTCTTACGCTCAGATACTGTTAGTATGGATTGTGGCAGGATGCTTGGCAATTTGGCAGACGTGCTGGCAGTTAGGGGTGACTGGGGGAAGAAAGAACAATGTAACTTCTTATTTAAAAATCTCCCTCTGCAGAAATGGCAAATTAAAGGGGGAGATCCTTCCTCATCCTCTTGCTTACAAGCCATGTTTGGATCTCTGCTGTTTTAAAGAGTGAGTAAAAGTTCCACTTGTACAGGTGTTTATACTGGAGAATAATACAGAATGTTAACGTGCTGTGATTGCAGTCTCCGTTCAAAGACGATGTAGCCATATTTTACATTTGTTACCGTGGTGCAATATTCTTTTAGAGTGCAGCATATTTTTGGGTAGCAGTAATATTTATCTGTACTTTATGACAGGAAAACGGGAATCCTTTTGGGGAGGAGGAAACTAGAATGCTGTATGAAAATAAAAGTAGGTTATTTTTCACTGAAATGTACTCCACTTGCAGTGAACTGTTTCCCCCCTCTGTGTCACATGAAAAAGAAGCAAGGTTTCACTGAATGTCGAGACAAACAGTAATTGTAAGATGTTAGATTTTTTGCTTTGTGAGGGTTTCAACCAAATATATAAGAACTGAGTTCCACAAGTTTCCTCTTGAACAGCTTATTTCAAAATACACTTTTTTTTTTTCTTTAAAGGAAACTCTCAATTATAAAAACCCATCCCCTGAAATACAGGGCTTTGTTCGCTAAATTAATGCCCCTTGTTTAAGTGATAAACCATGATTTATCTATGACTGAATACTGTAAATCAGGTAACTGTTTTATTGGGTCAGTGTGGGTTTAGGGAGGATTGTTAAAATGTTGAGCATTTATTTAACCCTAATCAGAAGTGTGAGAAGCTGTGGCTTTTCCTCAGACATTAATTGTTCCTCTGCATTTCTGCTAAGGTTACATGGAAAGTGAGAGAGGAAAACAATGCGGGTCAGGGAAAGGGGGAGCTGTAAAAAAAAGCATATTGGTATTGTAGGTGCTGGTGACTTTGTAATTAAAGTTGAGCAAGTTACTGGTGTCTGTGGTTTTCAAAATTATTAGCTGTAAGCGTTGCTCTTGGCAATATAATGTCTCTTTTCCCCTAGCAATTTATCACCTAAACTTACAGCATAATTAGCAAGAAAAAAAATTCAGTACAGACTTTAAAGTTTGTACTTACTCTGTTGAGTTCAGTAATGCTAGTCTGTTAGTTGCCTTCAACTTGAATGATCTGTTGCAAAAGCTAGTCTCAGTTCCTGTGTTTCTTTTCTTTTTCTTGTCTATAAAACATGTAAACAGAAAAAATATCGTCTAGAAACTGGTTAGAAAGATGAGAAGATGGGATCTTGTTTCAGTTTTTCTGAGATATTTGCTGTATGCAGTTTGGGATGTAAGGTTTGCTTTGCAGGGGCAGCTTAAATCTTAAAAAAAAAAAAAAAAAAAGAGTATTACTCGCCTCTGACAGAAATTCCAGAAAACTTCATGATTTTTGCCATTCATCCCAGTCATTAATCATTTCCTTGTCAATCTCATGTTGTAGGAATGCTTAAATTTTTTTTTTTTTTAGAATTATGTAATTATTGAAGAAAGTCAGGAGGGAGAACTTCAGAGGACAGATGACACTTGTTTTACCTGGCATATGATTTTTCCAACATCTGTGTTTCCTGTGTACCAGCAAAGTGTGTGTGGTCTTCACCAAGACAGGATACAGAATCTGTACCTGATGTTAAAGGTCCTATAGATTCCTCTGCTGTATAGTCTTGAGCCATTCAGTTTAAATATGTAATAGTAGTCCCCAAGCAGATACAGTTTTGTCAAGTATTAAAATAGCCTGTAATTGTGGCTAGGCAATAATGTACTTTTGGTTTTCCTATATGTGTGTTGAGTAATGTAGACTGATAGATGAAGCTGCTGTAACTAGGGGGTGGAAAAAACCCCAACCAGTAAAATTGAATCCCAACCCTTGAAAGCAAGTAATAAAATTTTGAATCTATATTGCTGTTTGGCTTAGTTTCCCACTCTGACTTAGTTTCCTACTCTATCCTGTCCCCATGAACAGCAGCTACAATGGCCTGGTAAGGCAAAGAAAGTTTTGAATTGAAAAACATAAAGGAAGTCAGAGCGTCAGAAACAGTACCTGTCTATTTTATACTGCTGAAAATACTTTTATCATCGGGTGTTGGTGGTGGTGTCCAAAAGGAGGTCTCTATCGCTAGAGTTTTGGCTTTGTTTTTTTTCAGAAAGTAGCAGATTTACTGCAAAAAAATTACCATATTTAGTGTATGTTACGAGGTTAAGTACTTTCAGAACAAACTTGTGTTATTACGTGTTCAACTTTTAAAATGCCTGAGCTAAAGCTTTGTGAACTAGAGCTGGCTGTGTGTGAAGCCAGTTCAGATGCTGCTGTGTACTGCTCCTATCCTGGCTCCAGCACTGTGTCTGAGACAGGAAGTGCTTCTTCAGGCTGTACAACTGGTCAAAACTGTGCAGAGAGAGACATTTGAGTAATTCTGCAGGGCTTGGCTCCGCGTTGAAATAAATGGTGACAAGCTTGCCCAGCCTGGCACGGCCTCCAAATGGTAGATGCAGCCACTGCAGTGCTTCTGCATCACCCTCGCCTCTTGCCCATGTTTTTATCTAGTTCCTTTTTAGGCCTGAATCCCAACCTCCTGCTGCGACATGCACTGGAGTGCAAGACTCGCGTCATGGGCAACCTTGTGTGTCCAAACTCAACTAAACACACCCTTATTCAAGGGGCTTGCAAGTTAAGTCATTTTGGAGTGGTAGTCTTGTCAGATTTGAAATAAAGAAAGTGAGAGGTAAAGAACGGAGCCACTTCTAAAGTTCTGAATTTGGAGTTGAGAGTCCAGCTTTAAGGTCTGCTTTAGACTTCATACAAGCTTTTCAGCAGGCGACTGTCATCAGTTTCACTTCTATAAAAATAGGTAGGAGAGAAGGAAGATTCAGTTAATGTCTTGGAAATTTGGATCATGGTGATAACTTGCACGAGCTGTACAAAGGTGATTTGAGTGATCCAGTCCTTTTCAGTAAGATTTATATAATAACTTATTTAAGACTTGGATAGTCCATTTCTCTTTTGTGAAATCTTCGGCTGTTGATGTTCACTGTCATAGACAAGAATTTCTGGTTCCCCAACAGCTCAATTAAACGTGTATAATATAAAATTAACTTTCAAGGTTCTTTGTTCCAGTACTATCTGGCATACACAGTTCTTGGAAGTAAAATTTTGGTTTAGCAGTGCTTTTGTAGTGGTATTCTGGTGCAATATGTGAATCTCCTTGGACTAATATTTCAGTGAACAAAATAGGTCTTAAGAATGTTTTGTTAATGCTAGGTTTACCTAAAATTTATTTTCTAGTTTCCAAATGAAATAATAGTTCGAAGATTGACTGCTTTGTTGAAATTGCTGAATATGTTGTAGAAATTTTTCCACGTGGCAGAGATGTGCTGCTGATGCTAAAAATCCAGAAGTGTGGAAGAAGAAATGATAGGATAAAATGAAAACAGCTCTTCAGGTGTTTTATTTTTTTTTTTTTTAAAGTACCAAAAACCCCACAACTGCCTTTTGCCTGCTAAGGCAAACCGGGGAGTAACTTCAGTCACTTCTCCGAACGTCCCATTAAGCTTCTTAAAAGCCTTTAATGTAAAATTGGAATGGGCTTGAAGGATCCCTTCAGAAGGTTTGATATTATGACTAACTTGAGTTTATAAGGCTTTACCTCTTGCCTGATTTAGAGTGTGGCTTAAATGGGATGCTTTCATTAGATTACGGACTGAATCTAGGACTGTAACGGGCTCCATAAAAGCACAGTAAAAGCTATTTAAATGCTGTTTCACTCCAGAGCAGATTTTACTTTCTTTGTTGGCAATATTTACTTACATCTTTGAAGTGTGATTATTGTTAATAATTTTGAATCCGTCTGGAAGTGGAAGTCCATAGAAATTTGTATACTTTGTCCTTCTGTGGTTTTTTTGCAAACAAACATCCCCATACTTTCTCAGGTAAAGTGCCTGCTAAGATGTCTAAGTACAGGGTACACAACATATCAGATTGTTCTTGTACAATCTAATCCTGTTCACTGTTATATCAAGCAGATATTATACCCATCACTGCATTTCCAGACTTTTGATAGGAAAATGAACATGTGGGAAGTGCTGTCACAAACAGTAAGTTTGTCACAGATCTTAGACCACCTGTGTTTAACCCCAGGTTGGTAATTCTGTGTAGTCAAATGGGAAGGACCAACAAAATTGTGTTAGCACATAATTAAGGATGGGGAGGCACAGTTGTGCAGTCGTGGTATAATGCACAAGCACTGGATAATACACCTTACAGTTAAAGGTTTGTGTAATTTAGGTGATTGCTGACTTATAACTTAAAGCATACGAGTGTGTTAATTTCCACTGTACACATATGAGCTAAACTTAGAAAGCAAAACTTCCCCTACTTCCACTTAAGGTTAAATATGCTACACCTAGGAAACAAAAATGTGGTTTTCTTGCAGGAATGAAGGCATTAACTATGACATGAAAGAGGAGGGGTTCTTGTGCATTTAACTGGGTAACTCTGCAAAATGAAAACTAGTTTTGCCAAAATTGCCCAGGAAATAGCTTCTCATCAAGGTCTTTTTTTCATTAGCAATCACAGTTTTAAGCTCCTGTTTTAGCTTTGTACCTCTCAAAAAAAAGCTACCAGGTTTTTTATTAAATTATCAGTTTTATTTTTATTTAATGAGCCTTGATGTTACAGAGGGGGAAAAATGCTTGGAGGCAGGCAGCAGGGCTTTGTAGATCATTAATTTTCTGAAGTCTATAAGCAGCTGATGACAGAGGCAAAATGTGTCAGCTTGGCCTGCACAAAGCAGTTATTCGACTTGTTTACAGCTGTGCATGTCACTGTGAGGTCTCAGTTCTATATAAAGGGCATTTGTTTCTCTGGATGTTGATTTAGCATAGTATCTTTCCACTTGATACTGGATGTGAAATGAGCATCTTGTCTATATTTAAAAATGCTTCCCACGTTAATTGGTTGTAGTGGTTAAAAAATAAAAGCAAGGCTGTTTATTGTGATTTTTGTGACTTAATGATTTAGAAAATAAACGCTACAGTAACAAAAGCTTATGTGTTTAAATTGGTAATACAAATAATGAAAGGTTGGGTAATATATATATATTGTTTTGTGTTTTTTTTCTTCTGTTTAGGTTAAAAACTTTGCTGTTATTTATCTTGTGGATATCACTGAAGTACCAGACTTCAACAAGATGTACGAGTTGTACGATCCCTGTACTGTCATGTTTTTCTTCAGGTACGTGATGGTTCTGGAATGTAACTCATTTAAGTTTTTTGTTTGTCAAATACAGTGTCTCAGTAAATAATTTCTAAATGCATATTAGCATACTGGTGCTTATATTTTCATTGCTTTACAAAAGAGTAAACTGATTAAATAGAAAAATAGCTTGTTTTCCAATTAGCTTAGTAACAGTGTTTGATAAGAGTACAAATCAGCGGTGATTAGTGAAAGCTGGCTTTATTATCCATTGTTTTTAGTTTTAAATCTCAAACAGAGCATGTACAGAATACTGTAGTAGTACAGCAGTCAAGCTTGTCAAACTTGCTTTAAAGATAAATCCAAAGGAATAAGGGGTTTTTTTGAGCTAAGGCATCTACATGGGTGAGATAAAACATCCTGCTGACAAGCACAGAAGTCTCTCTGGAGATAGACAGTAGTGGGATATAAAGTGCAATTCTGAAATATAATGCCATATTAACTTTGAGGTTTTTTCTTCTTTCTCTTTAAAGGAACAAACACATCATGATTGATTTAGGTACAGGTAATAACAACAAGATCAACTGGGCAATGGAAGATAAGCAAGAGATGATTGACATAATAGAAACTGTTTACAGAGGAGCCCGCAAAGGTCGAGGTTTGGTGGTATCGCCAAAAGATTATTCCACTAAATACAGATACTGACATTTCTTAGGGCTGCCTTTTCTCTCAGTTCTACATCCACTTAAATATATTATTGTGTATGTGTGTACATATATGTATATTAAAAGAAAAAAAAAACCTAAAAATCCTTGAACTTTGAGCATAATTTGAATTATTTAAAAGGTTTAAATTCTGTTTGAAAAGTAGAAGACTCAAAGCCCGTAACTGTCTTGACTGCAGTAATATTGTAGCTGAATTTTGGGGGTTTATTTTTTAAAGACTTTACTCTTTGTTGCCCTTTTGGTATTATGTATTTTTGTACACAGAAAGCCTGTTTGGGGAAAAACATTTTGACTGTTTTTAGTCTGCTTTTGTTACACAGATGTCCAGGAAAATGACAGCTTTTTTAAAAGAATAAAGTGAGAGTTCCACATATTCACTTTAATTTTTTTTCAGCTAATTAAATTTTTGAATGAAAACAAATGTAGGAAGATGAAAGCTTATCACTTTTCTCAGAATTTCCTTGCGTAGCATATTAGCCTTATGTATCCACTAAAAATGGGAATAAGTTTAAAATACTCAGCAGATTCTGCAGAGCCAAAACATAATTGCAGTTCTGGAGCTGGCTGCACGGCCAGCAGTTGAAGAAACCAGGAGCCATGCTTTCTGTCACTCCATCTCCAGTTTGTCTGGTGGTATACCAAAACGCCTATCTACTCAGGAGACTTGGACTGGATTCCATTGTGGCACGACTCTGGAGATTTCTGTTTGCATTTCTGACAGCTTCTGGAGTTGGCGTTCTCTGGGGGTTTGTTTGTTTTTTAAAATGATACATGCGTATTTACAGGTTTAATTAAAAAACAAACCAGCCTATGCAGAAATGAGATACCTGTACTTTTTGGTCCAGTTTGTCACTAGACAGAGCAGAATATGCTTTTTTACCATCAGGTGTATTTTAGAGGATTTAGAAAGAGGCACAGAAGTAAAACACAAGGGTCCCAATTCCTGCTGGAGTTAATCTGGTTTACAGTTGTGGTGGGTTGCCCTTGGCTCGTGCCCACTGAGCCACTCTATCGCTCCCCTTCTCAGCTGGACCGGGGGAGAAAAAACAAGATGAAAAACAACTCGTAAGTTGAGATAAGGCAGTTTAGTAAAGCAGAATTGAAAGTTTGTGTGCACACAAGCCAAGAGGGGGAAAAAAAATAAGTATTCTCTACTTCCCATTAGCAAGAATTTAGCCACTTTTTGGGAAGCAGGGCTTCAGCAGGCGGAGCAGTTGCTCTGGAAGGCGAACTCTGTAAAATAATGAATGCCCCCCCTACTTCTTTTCCTCAGCCTTTTTATCTGAGCTGATGTCATATGGTATGGAATATCCCTTTGTTTAGTATGGGTCAGCTGGCCTACTTGTGTCCCCTCCCAGTATCTTGCCATCCATTGGGGAAGGAATGTTACAGTGCTGACACTGTAACCCTGGTGTGTTACCAACACCTTTCTAGCTACCAATGCAAAGCACAGCACTGTGAGGGCTGCTGTGGGGAAATGAACTCTGTCTCAGCTAGACCCAATACGACAGTGGAAATTCTGCAATCGTTTATGTTGGAAGGGACCACCAAACTCAAGTCATAGTAGGTCCCACTTGGTCTGGTTGCCCAGGACTCTGTCCAGTGTTAAGTATCTTGTTTGGACTAGATGGTCTTGAAGGTCTCTTCCAGGCCTGATGATTCTGTGGTTTTGTGAGGATGGAGATTCTTCAGCCTTTCTGGAAGGCCTATTCTGCTGCCAGTGCACCTTCCTAATAGAAAAAGGTTTCTTGTATCTAGCTGGAATTTTTTATGTTTCAGCTTGTCTCAAATAACTCTCTGGTGTAAAACACCTCCAAGAGTCCTCTAAGTTTTCCCCATGCTCTATTAGGGGGTAGTTGTTGGCAGCAGGAAACCATAGGTTTTTCTAAAGGCTGAACTAACAGAATTCCAGAATTCTCTCACACCCTTGTATGCTTTGTACTCCACCACATCATGATGGCTTTCTTTTATAGCTGCCTCACAATAGATTTCTTGACCTGGTGAGCCCCCAGATTGACACAATATTCCAGGTGTGGTCTCACAGCAGCTGAATGAGGGGAAGGACCTGCTGGCTCTGCTTGTGCTAATGCTGACCAGCAAGTGGCTGCAGCCTTTGCTGCCAGGGCACCCCGCTGATTATTCATAGTCACCTTCCCCCAGACCCCACTCCTTTCCTGCAAAGCAGTGTGCCAGCCAGCCCCTCCCAACTGCTGTGTCCCAGAGCCCAGCTCGGCCCTTGCCTTTGAACCTCAGGAGGTTCCTAATGGCTCATTTCTCCAGCCTGTCCTTCGGCACAACAGCTTTTCCCCCACAGCGTGACAGTGCTTGCAAGTCTAAAGAACTGACTGGAATGATTTCTTGATTTTAATGAAGACTCTAATAGGTGCATTTAACTCCTCATTAGGTATTCACCTGGCAATGCTTCAGTTTCTGCATTTATGGTAAAAGGTTCCCATTACATTTCAAGCTAAATCTTTCCTGCAGAGTGCCAGTGTTTTGGTGTACAACAACCTTAAAGTTAGTGCAGATGTCCTGTTTTCTCTGACTCTACCACATCTTGTTCAGGAATTATCCAGGAACTAGAATTCCTCATTACCTCAAAACCTATAAAATAAACTCACTAAAACAGCTAACATTAAAACACTGAAATTGGCACAATCTGCATACCTGGGTGATGTCATCTGCACTGGTGTGTGGCTTTGGGTGGGCTTGTGAGAAGAGTAACAACTGAGCATCTGTACTCTGCACATACTGCCATTTCTTTTAGTGCAAAATGTTTGTATTCATTTGACCTCTGAAGTTTTCCAAAGGCACCTTTGTAGTAACGTCAAATAAGGTGCATTTTGTGACGTAAAACATTTAAAGAAGCAAGAAGATGGCACATGCAAATAAAAATTTTTGTCCTAGAAGGATCTTGTTATTCTGAGAACATTAAACGAAAAAGGCAACAAAGAAATCTTATTATTTTAATATTATTAAAATAAACGGAATACATTTTCATAGACTGAAAAAAAATTGTGATTGGATAAGTTCACTATACAGGATTTAGTTCTCTATCCAAAATAGTGGGTTTGCCTTCTCTGAAACTAACAGTTCTTCTTCGGCTCCAGGAAATACAGTGCCACATTCAGAGAAGTAAACACATCATTCTACTTTTTTTCCTGGGGAAATAGTTTAAAAAAAAAATTTTGAGATTCTATCATGACATGATGCAAACATGATTGTTTTCCTATGACATTTTTTGTCAATGCGACACTGACTGTAAACTCCTGGAGTCAATGCAGTGCCGTTCTGCCTTTGTGTTGCTTGAACACATCCTCCTTTCAATGCTGCAAAGAAACAGTAAGTAGTTTTTTTAATTATTCATGAATGTGATCAGTGTGAAAATAGGGAGATCTCTGTACAGTAAAATACAACTCTGTAGATTGTCTTTCTGTGTTTCTGAAAATTATTTCATAGCTTATCACGAAAAAGGCATCACAATGAGTAGGGGCCGAAATTACTTCAGAATATTTTACAGATGTTTCTGTCTTTCACTGGGTAAGCAGTCTCAATTGGAAGAATAATTGGTGTGTCTCAATTTGAATCAGGAAAGTGCAACAACAAGGAAGACAACATCACCTGCATCCACAGAACACGGAAGCAAGGCTGTCTCATAAATACTAAGAGTGCATGTAAGAGGTGTGCTCTGAGCCATGCTGGGAAGCTGAAGGAGATTCAAAAGCAGATGTACATAAATTTATACCAGTGAGAATCCTCAGTCAGCTAGGTAAGCATACCTGAGGGACAGGAATGGTGGGCACACACATTTCATTACAAATGTACAGCCTCGATTTACATCCTTGGGATTAGTTTGCAGTGCCCCCCTCTACTCAGCTGAAACGGACACAGCAAGATGCAGTTTTTCTTTTGTAAAACTAGTAGCATTCTTTGGCTCTTGGCATAAAGAAATCCAGGATGATTATTAAATACATTTTTAAAAACTACACTTTCAAATTTACACAAATGCAGGTATGATAAATATGTAAACATTATTTTCATGCTAATTCTTGCCCATCATTCAATACTATGTGGAAAAATATAAAATACAGAAAAACTTAATTAAGTTTCTTTACTCTCAAGTCTTCATCAGTGTTCTCTTCTATCCCAGCCTCTGTCATCAGGTCAGCAACGCGCTTCTCAAGGTCATTGATGCGCTCGCCCATTTCTTCCAGTAAAAAGTTAAAGATAACTTACTTAAAAATAAGAATTCTATAATTTTACAGTTTTTTTTTCTGTAAGAAAAACAAGCAGCTTTTTTTCAGATGTCTCAGCATCTTACTTATCCACATTTAATGCTCAATGAGGTATGCCCAAGGTTGTATTTTTACAAGACGATACTGAAGTTCTTAATACCAAATGCCTTTGTGTATACCCGAGAGTGAACTGGAATATTTTCTGAGGAACTTTTAGGTGATAACATACCATCAACCTACACAATCAGAATACAAGTGCTGCTAAGGCATTACTCTTCTCTTACACTAAAGAAGCCGCTTCCTGAAATGTAGAGTTTCAGAAAAAAGGTAATTAATGTGCAGTTTCAGAAAGCAGAGGTAGTTTCTGTAAGTATATCAAGTGAGAAAGCTCAGAGCCCCATCAGGTCTTAATTTCTCTTTTAGAGGGCTCACCTTGCCCCGCTCAGGAGGCCAACAGCTGTTTTCAAACAAACACCACCTGGCTGATTTGAGTTGCATTTTTGAAGATTTTTTTTTGTTGTTGTTTGTTTGTTTGGTTGGTTTTGTTTGTTTGTTTTGTTTTAATGTACCTTCAGAATCTTTACATATAATTTGATGCTTTTTTGAAAGAACTGCCGAACAGAGACTACTTCACGACTTGTAGTAAAACCTTTTTTGGGATTCCTTTCTTTAGAAAAGGGATAAATAAATGGGTTGGGGGGGGGGGGGAGGGCAATTCCGCTGTTTTTACATCATAGGTGTTTAGCAACGTCAATAATTACAGGTTAATTTGATGTTTAGGAAAGAAGGCCATCCCGGTGTTAAAAGCAAAGCTCCCCCCACAAGGGACCCCAGCCGCAGGAGCCGCAGTCTTTCCGGCGGTGCAGGTTCCAAAGAGGATATTTCTCAGCGTTAACTTTTCCGTCAGGGCCTGGAAATTATCCTGCAGCCGACACAGCAGATTTTCCGCCTGCAGGGGGGTGGGTGTACGGAAATAAAGACAGCGAAGGCAGAAAGGCAGGGGGCGGCCGGCCGAACGAGCAGACAGACCCACGGCCGGGCCACGACCCCCCAGCCCGGGCAGCCCCAGCCCGGCCCCGCTCCCCCCCAGAGCCGGCCCCGCTCACCAGCTGCGGCAGGTCCCCGGCTCCCGGCGGGTCGGTGGCCTCCGCCGCCATCGCCTCCTTCCCCAGCCCCGGCTCCGAGCCGCGACCCTGGGCCCGCCTGCCCGGGCGGGACGGGACGGGACGGGACGAGGCGGGCCGGGACAGGGAGCGCTCGGCCCCGCCCGACGCCGCCTCAGCGGGGAAGGCGGGCGGGGGAAGCCCCGCGGCGCTCCCGGGGGCAGCCGGGGAATCCTTAAAGGCCGGAATTCCGCACGGCACTAACCGAGTAAGGACGGCGAGGTTTGGTCTACGCGGGCCTTACGATTTCATAGATCTGGTGGGGTTTTTCTTTTGGTGTTTTTGTTTTGTTTTGTTTTCCTTTTCATAAGGTTTGCCTCCTTTTCCCCGTGTAACTGGTCTTGTAATACGGAGTAAATACGGTAAAAATACCGTGGTGGTTGAAGTTCTTTGAAGTCCCTCCACTGTCGAGCGAGAGACAACAGCGAAGGCATGGGCGAGAATCCCCTCTTACAGCATGTAGGTCATCCCTGCACTTTCGGGCTGCACAGCATAAAAATCTCCTGGTGCATCTCTTGCAGAGGTGTGTTGTTTATGTAGATGACCTCAGTGCTGGAACTGTTGCCTGATGTAAATGAAGAGGTTTTCCATTTACTGTGCCTGTGTGGTTAGGAGCATATCACTGTTGGGCAACAGATTTCCTTAGTCGATTACTTTATAGATATGCCAAACATGTGCCTTCATCCACAGAAATCTTCTGAGTTAGGAGTGACCTCAGTTGCTGGAAAGATTATCTCTTGTAAGCCTACCACTTAGAATCTTTCTTAATAAACTTAATTGTCTTCCTTCCTGAACTTCCCCACCTCATTTGAGAGGGTGTGTTAAATCTCTGAGGTGAAATTCTGGCATCAAAGCCATCCTCCGCATTGCTGTGTGCTTCCCATAATTGTGGCTTCTCCTCTCTACATCCTTACCTCCCCACTCTTGCAGGTTCTCCTCTTTGCCTTTATTGTTGTAGAAAGAAAAATCAAGCAAGTTTTGCAGAGCTTGAGTGCTCTAGCAGCATTACTGCTCTAGAAAGCCTCTAGATAAAACAATTTGAACAATATTACGCATATAGATATGCTTGGCTTTTGCACGTAGCCATTAGCTGCAACCACATAGCTTTTTTGTTCTGTTGCATAAGTAATAAGAAACAGTTGTTGCTTCTTACCTGATTATTCGTTGGTAATAAATCTTCTTTCCCTAAGGGCTGGGTAGTAGCTGTACTATTTTTTCATTTCTACTTCTGATAACAGCCATAGTCTTCCTGGTTTTCCCTCCTTCCAAAACAGCTACAAAAGCTTCCTTCTTAGGCAGCAGTATGTTCCCCCAGAGGCAGTCGAAGTGGCTCTGTCTGCTTATGTTTAGTTATCTTGAACAAAGCCGTAGAGTCCCATTTGAGGTGAAGAGCTTGCAGGGATAAAGAGCCAGCTGGAAATGCAAAGGAGCAAGCATAACACATCCAACCAATTCGCAGGAATTCCACTAAATCCTTGTAGAGCCGCATTTTAGCGATGGCCAGGTTATAGTTCAACTGAAAACAAGCATGATTTTATAAAGGCCTTCTGTAATTAGCTCCTTGTTTTTGTGAGGCAGGTCCGTGGGGTCAGAGCAAAATTATAGTACCCAGGTGGCATAGCAATGGAGGACGGACAATTAAAAGTGTTAGAGACTGAGGGAAATATTTCAACATGCGTTTCCTTTTGCAGAGGTCTGGTTCTTTTATTTCGTGGGCTCGGTGGCTGATTTGAATATCCCTCCTACTTCAGATTTTGAGCTGAATTAGACCAATAGTGCACAGCTGGGTTTATGAAATAAAAATGGAAGTGTCTGTAAAGCTGAAAACGGCTGTGGGAAAGTTCTGAAGTTCAGAAAGCCTAAGAATAGAGGAGACAAATGGCAGGGCCAAATAGACTGCTTAACAATTAATTTACTTAGAACTAGTGTGCTTGGTTTTGCTCTGCTGTACTCTAGCCTCTTCCTCCTCAGAGGGCTTGGTAGTTCAGAGCTGGGCTGTTGCACACATTTCCAGGGTCTGAAATCTGGAAATGTAAGATGAGCCATATTTTAAAAGCAGCAATCTGTGTTAGACATGCACACACGGGCTAAGGGAAGCTGAGCAAAAACTTTTTTGTGTTGTTTCAAAAGCAAAGGGCTAGCTGAGAACCAGTCAGCCAGCAGCACTACCAGTGCTCATAAGAGTATGTGCTGCAATAAGTAAAGAATACCTAATTTACTAAAAGGATAGCAAGAAGTTCATTTTGCCAATGAATACAAAAGCAGGTATTGAGGGGGTTTGAGAAAGGAGCAAAACAGATTTGACAACAGAAATTCTTTTTCCATGCTCTGTACTACTTTCTTTCAGTAAAAACCCTAGACTTTAGTCACTTTCAGTTTAAATACGTCTTCTTGGTATGAAGCACATGAAGTAAAAATAAAAAATAGGGTGACCTAGAGGCTGGGGCGCCATCTGCTTCCATCCTATTTCAGAATTGCAGGCCTGTGCTGTGAACTCTTTTCGGTGTGTACTGAAATGGTATCCAAAGTATGTTTCTCTCGCTCTTTCCGAGGGAAATTCCAATCCCTCCGCTGCTGGAACAAGAAGTCAGGGTAGCAGGACAGGAAATAAAAGCATATTTAAACATTTGTAGTCCTAAGCTCCAAGTTCAATGCCACTTACTAGATGATGCCAGCTGTAAAAGCCTGTGGTGTGGAGCGATAAAAGAATTGCTTTGTAGAAATGCATCACTCTTGTTGTTTGGAAGTTACATAAAATCCCTCCCCCTCCTCTTTGCTGACAAATTAGGTTTTATACACCGAGGTTGGGCATCCTCTGGTCACATACTCCAAGCATGTCTGGCTCGGGGTTGCTTTGAAACGGAGGTGAGGATAGAGAAAGGATGCCTCAAAGAGAAGCCTAATATTACATGTGTGTTACGAAAGAAAACAGGAAATTTAGTCCTGGAAGGAGACAAGAAGGGAAGTGTTTCTGAACCATGATGGCAGCTTATTTGGCTGTAGATCAGAAGGCAGGATGCAAATTGCACTGCAAATTTTTGCCTTTTTTTTTTTTTTTTTGATTCCTGGCAGAGGCGTGGTCAGTTGTAAAAGTTTCCTCTGCAGAGAAAAGTACAAGCTAGTTCTTGCACCACAGTCGTGGTGTTTCTGCTAACAAATTGTAGGGCTGGGTCTTTGAGTCATCACTCTCACTCAGGTAGCTTCTCTTGTGTCACTTCACAGTTGTGATTCAGAGGGACACAATGTGCAAAAAAACCTGTCTGGCTTTGCTAGGTCATCAGCTTTTATATTCTGAAATCCTAAATGGTGCTGGTGGTTCTTGCAGCAAATTACCAACATTTACCTGATCTCTTGATTCAGTATGATGCACTTCACTGGGAGCTTGTTCCACTGGAATACTTCCTGGTGAAGACATCCCTTTTCTTTCGTATGGTAACATCAATAGAAGTAACAAGTTGTTGTTATTTAAAAGCGTGGAAAGATGTGGTGAGTGAAGTGCAAATGCCTCAGGCAGAGAAAAAGGCATTCGAGTCAGTGGTGTCAGACAACTCTGGTGCTCCTTTGAAAGACAAGTCATTTGGGGTGAATATTAAAAGCTTGGATGTTTGCTCGGGGCTCAAATTTCAGGTTCTGTATCATTGAAGAGAAAAGGGCAATTCTAGCAATTGAGAAACCTGATCCCTGATGAAGGTGTTCTGCTTTTAACAAAAGTGTTCGGTTTTTGGACTGCCGCTCACAAATCCCCTTACTGAGAAATTTTTCTGCAAGTTTCTCTCTAAAGAAAACTGGCAAGGTTAAGGATAATCTTTGTCAGAAGTTCAGTGTGTACTATGGGCATCATGTAGCTGTAACAGAAAACAGGGTATAGTTTTCCCTCTTAAGTGAGGAGAGGAGAGGGGATAAATGTAGGAGCAGCAGAAAGGTGACTACAGAGGCTGGTTTTGAGTAATTCTTGACTGTGTGAAATCACCTGCCTAGCTGCTGCTGTTGTTGTTGACTGAATTATTACATGGTGATCCAGAAATCTCTAGCTATGTTTCCCAGACATGGCTGGTAAGAGATGACGCTTCTAATGCTGCTTTCTGCTCCAGCCTTGTTCCATTGTCTTTGGACAGTGAGGGTGGAGGAGCATTCACCGAGCAGTTCACCTCCTGAAAGGCTGCAGGAGAGAGCTGGAGGTGTTTGTCCCTGGTGGAAAAGGGAGTGGGGGTCTGTTTCTCTGTCGTGGTGGCCCACTGCTGGCATTCTGGATGCTGCATGTGGAGCCTGTGTTCAAATCACCACGCGGCCTTGCTCCTTACGTGTGCACACAGGAGCTTTCTCGAGGAAAATACAGTGTGTAACAGGCAAGGCTCTGCAATACAAGAACAGTGAGCTGACCTCAGGTTTTCAGATCCCACAGCCTGGTGTGGCTCTCTTCCAGGTGCACAATGAGCGCTTGTACACGGAGATTAAACGTGGCACGTGGTGGGGTATGTGACGGAAATAGTATTTTTCAAAAATATTTTGTAAAAAGAGCCTGTGTTGAAGAGGCTGGAAGCTGGGCAGAGGAGGGAAGGTTTCATTTGAAGATGCACGTTTTGCTTTTCCAGAAGCTGTAAAGTACCATGGGTAGTGTTTCCTGTAAGCAGACTTGCAGCTATGGTCATATTTCCTTACAGCTTCAGAGATAATTTTTCCCAGAGAAGATAACTGGTACAGGCAGTTTAAATTCACCTCAAATTGTTGGAAAGGACTTCATATGGTTGCATAAAACGTGGGTGGATTTGGAAGAATATGGAGAATAACACTGGGGAATATCAAGTGTAGAACACGTGCTCTAACAGCAGGGTTTGGGTAATAAAAAAAGCAAAGGGTGTAGAAATCTGATTATTTGGCTTTTTGTTGTTGTTGGGAGAAAAACTTCCCCTTTCTCATCTGAAACAAAGAACTGTTGCAAATATGCTGTTAGGATTGAAACCTGGACTGACAGTGGCCATTGTGGTCTTGAACTCAAGTGTTACTCATGCAGTAATGTCCGTCTTTAGGGGTTTTTTTCTCCCTTCTGCACTCTTTGCTCCTGGTAA